TAAACATAAGAGTTAAAACTATAAATCTCTTACAGGAAAACGTAGAACAAAAGCTTCACAACAGTGGCTTTGGCAATGATTCCCTGGATGTGACATGAGGAGCACAGGCCACAAAAGTGAAAAATAAATTGAACTACATCAAAATTTAAAACTTCAATGCAAAGGACATAATCAACAGAACAGAAAGGCAAACCACAGAATGGGAGGAAATATTGCAAATTTTATATCTGATAAAGGATTAATATCCAGAATATGTAAACAACTCCCACAATTCAACAAGACAAATGACCTGATTCTTAAAATGAGCAGGAGACTTTACTAGAAACTTCTGTAAAGAAGACAAAAAAGGTCAACAAGCATACGAAGAAACGTTTAACATGACTAATTATCAGAGTAATACAAATCAAAACCACAATGAGATAACCTCACACCCATCAGGATAGTTACCACCAAAAAAAAATCTCTATGTTGGTGACGACATGGAGAACTTGGAACTCCTGTGTACCATGGATGGGAATATAAAATGGTGTGGCCACTGTGGAAAACAGGATGGCAGTTAGTCAAAAAACTCAAAATACAGCTACCGTATGATTGAGCTGTCCCACTTCTAGACATATGCCCCAAAAATGTGAAAACAGGGACTCGGATGAGTACACCGTGTAAAGGAGCACTTTCCCCAATAGCCAAAAGGCAGAAGCAACTCAAATGCCCATTATCAATCAAATGGGTAAACAAAATGTGGTACGTGCATGCAATGGAATACTATTCAGCCTTAAAAAGAAAGAAAATTCTGACATACGCTACAACAGGAATGACCCTTGAAGACATTATTCTAAGTGAAATCAGCCAGTGGCAAAAAAAGCAAATACTTTGTGATTTCACTTACATGGGGTGTCTAGAATAGTTAAATTCCCAGAGACAGAAAGTAGAATGAATGGTTACCAGGGGCTAGAGGGAGGAGCAAAGGAGAAGGTCTGTCACATTGTAAAGATTCAGCTTCACAAGATGAAAGGTTTCTGGAGACTGACTACACTACTATGTAAATACACTTAGTACTAAACTGGACACTTAAAAATGGTTAAAATGGTAAATTCTGTGTTATGTGTATTTTAACCCAATTTTTATAGTACAAACTTAATGGATTATTTTGTACAAATTATTTTAATAAAGAAAATAATAGCCTTATTAATAGCCCTAACTCATAAATCTATTGCCACATGTTTATTTTACATGAAGTATGTTATCTCTCAATATCAATATGCACAGAATGCTATAACACTGTAAATATCTTTTAAAGTAAAGAAATCATTTGTAGGATTGAAACTATAACACACTTTACACACAAAGCTTACATTCTGCAAAATCAATAAATTTATATGAATGTCAAGAATGTATATGGTAACGAAAATAACTTCATAGCAAAGCCTCCTGCTTCATTTCATGTTAATACTTCCTTTGAAGGTTTCAAAGAGCCTCACAAATCTCAGGGCACAAGCAAGAAAGGATTTCCTCTGTTTGAACCATAAACTGCAGAGCAAAACCTTCATTACATGTTTGCTGAAAAACGCCGCACTGGATGATACGTGTAGTGGAGCTCAGACCCCGGAGGCCTCCAGTGCTTCTCTAACCCCATTACTCTTTAGCCTCGATTTGAATAAGGAACCTGAAGTACAACTTATTAGCAAATTTGAAGAGAAGATATTTCACAAGATTTAGTATGTTAGATCTCAAAAATATATTTATCCCTTTACACCCAGGAAAAAATATAGATTTTTAATTTAGAATTAAAGTTCAAAGTACAGTTATAGTTGAAAGTACAGTTATATTCAATTAGAGTCTCAATTTGATCTAATAATAAGCTGCTTGAGTATATAACCCTGTGTCAAAATAGTATACTAAGAATATTAGCATTGTTTTATTTAAAGCAAAAATCAAGGAAATAATTAAAGAACGCAAAGACTTGTTGGAGGAAAGACTGCACTGCATTGAGGGCATCCTCCTTGGTGATACTTGTGAAAGGCCAATTTCTAAATCCTGCCTCCCACCATTCTAACTCTGGCACACTAGATTGGGGCCTAGTCATTTGTACATTTTTTTAAAGATTGTATTTATTTTTAGAGAGAGGGGAGGGGAATGAGAAAGAGAGGGAGAGAAACATCAGGGTGTGGTTGCCTCTCACGCACCCCTACTGGGGATGTAGCCTGCGACCTAGGTATGTGTCCCAACTGGGAATCAAACCGGCAACCCTCTGGTTTGCAGGCCTGTGCTCAATTCACTGAGCTACACCAGCCCGGGCTCATTTGTGCATTTTTAACAGGCACTCTAATAACATTTTGAGAAAAATGCAGAACATACCACCAGTAAGATGCGAATTACAAAGTCTTAGAGGTATACCTTATAAGGAAGTGCAGACCTCATCTTATTACATGACTAATACAGGAACCCTTTACAATACTCATTGATTAATTTTATTTTTTTCTCTTTATTTTTTAATATATTTTTTATTTTCTTGATTATGCCATTACATTTGTTCTATTTCCCCCCTCCATTCCCCTCTACCCTGCACACCCCTCCCCCACCATTCCCCCCTTTAGTTCATGAACACGTGTCTCAAGTTCTTTAGATTCTATATTTCCCATACTATTCTTACCCTCCCCTCTATCTATTTTCTATCTACTGTCTATGCTACTTATTTTCTGTATCTTCTCCCCCCTTCTCCTTCTCCCACTCCCCTGTTGCTAATCCTCCAGGTGATCTTCATTTCTATGGCTCCGCTCCTGATCTAGCTGTCATTTTAATTTGCTTTTGTTTTAGGTGTGGTTCTTAATAACTGTGAGTTTGCTGTCCTTTCACTGTTCATCTTTTTTATCTTCTTTTTCTTAGGTAAGTCCCTTTAACATTTCATATAATAAGGGCTTGGTGATGATGAACTCCTTGAATTTGATCTTATCTGAGAAGCACTTTATCTGTCCTTCCATTCTAAATGAAAGTTTTGCTGGATAGAGCAATCTTGGATGTAGGTCTTTGGATTTCATGACCTGGAATACCTCTTTCCAGCCCCTTCTTGCCTGTAAGGTCTCTTTTGAAAAATCAGTTGACAGTCTGATGGGAACTCCTTTGCAGGTGACTGTCCCTTTATCTCTTGCTGCTTCTAGGATTCTCTCCTCCATTTTAATCTTGGCTAATATAATGATGATGTGTCTTGGTGTGTTCCTTCTTGGGTCCAACTTCTTTGGGACTCTCTGAGCTTCCTGGATTCCCTGGAAGTCTATTTCCTTTGCCAGATTAGGGAAGTTCTCCTTAATTATTTGTTCAAATAAATTTTCCACTCATGGTTGTTCTTCTTCTCCTTCTGGTACCCCTATAATTCAGATGTTGGAACATTTAAAGATGTCCTGGAGGTTCCTAAGCCTCTCCTCATTTTTTTGCATTCTTGTTTCTCCATCCTTTTCTGTTTGGTCATTTTTTCCTTCCTTCTGGTCTGCTCCCTTGATTTGAGTCCCAGTTTTCTTTCCATTACTACTGGTTTCCTGTGCATTACCATTCATTTCAATTAGTTTAGCCTTCATGTGTTCCTCTAATTTGTGACTAAAATCACCAGTTCTGTGAACATCCTGATCACCAGTGTTTTGAACTGTGCATCTGAAAGTTTGGCTATTTCTTTGTTGCTTAGATTTATTGGCTCTGGGGCTTTGAGTTGTTCTTGAGCCATGTTTTGATCTGTTTGTGCCTGTTACGTATGAGGAGCGGAATCTTAGTTGTTCACCAGGGCGGGGCCACCCAGGTCGCTAGTTTGTAACGCTGTATGTGGGGGCAGGGTCAGAGAGGGAGCAATGGCAGATATGTGCGAGCCAGCCGCCCTGTGCAGGGGCCTGCGCGGTCTGTCTCAATACACGTCTCTTCACTGGTTTATCTGCGTGCAAATGTGCAACTGCAGAGAGCCAGCCACGCTGCCCCTTCCCTGGGACCACCCGTAGCTACCCCGCACCTGGGATCCGTGCCCTCGGCTGCCTGGACGCTGCCTGGGTCGGGGGATCATTTTTGCCTGACCCGCTCCGCTGCTGGCTTCACCCCTCTCACGGGTTTACCTGATCGGTTCCTTATATTCAGACTCCATATTGTTCGATTTTCTGTGGTTTGGTTGCGTTTATTGTTGTTAAAACTTTGTTGTTTTTAGATTTGGTTGTGCGAGGAAGCAAAGTGTTTCCACCTACACCTCCATCTTGGCAGAAGGGGCTGATTGATTTTAATAAGAAAGAATACCGCCCTGGCTGGCATAGCTCAGTGGATTGAGCGCGGGCCTGTGAACCAGAGTATCACTGTTCGATTCCCAGTCAGGGCACATGCCTGGGTTGCAGGCCAGTTCCCAGCGGGGGATGCATGAGAGGCAACCATACATTGATATTTCTCTCCCACTCTTTGTTATTCCCTTCCCCTCTCTTGAAAAATAAAATATTAAAAAAAAAGAAAAGAAAGAATACCAACATATACATAGTCAAATAAATAATATATACTTCTCTATAAAGTATGAAGGCTAATCATTTATTTTAACAATACCATTGTTTAAGACTTAGAATCACCTCTTCTTAGAAATAACTTTCAATACAGCATATGAGCCTTCAAACACATACATAAATTACAAAATGGAACTGGTTTCATTACGTTGTTGCTCCTTCTGGTTTTTCATTTAAGGCAGAGGTCCCCAGATTCATCATCCTAGTGCTAAACAAGTTCATACTACTTTCCAAATACACCCTTCACGGGGTTAAGATTTGCGACCATAGAAAACAGGATGCTTTAAAGAATGGTACCAGATGATGATCAAGATACAGAAAAAAATGTTTAATGTTCTGAGTAGAGGATAGAGAATGGCCTATCGAAAAGACAGTTCTGAACAAGATAATGCTCACTTGGATATGTAGGTTCAAGTAGGCTTTTTCAAAGTATATTATTAAACATTACTGAACACGGATAATAGTAATCGGAAAAGAAGACATTACCTGTGACTGCGTTCTTCAACCTCCTGCTGGGTTGTCCTTGCTTTCACTTCACTCTATTGGAGGAGCAGAAAAAACGTCTCCAGCACTTGGCACTGCTAGGAACTCCAAGACTTTCAGAATCTATAGAAATGAATAAAAAAATGATCCACAATCATGAATAAACTACCAAAACCCAAACTAAGTTTTCCTCCTCCCATTTGCTGTGCACTAAATAGGTTCTCCTCAGATGGCACTTACTTTATCATTTTAAAGAGATAAGCAAAATCAAAATCTTTATTTAGAGATCTGAATGCCAGCCAGAAATAAGAGATCCCCATTGGGTAACAGAGCAGAGAGGAGGATTCCTCCGTGTCTATGAGATGGTAAGTCATTATACGGTTCTTTCACAAAAGAAAAAAAAACGTGAAACTAAGTAAGTCCATATCCATGCATCAGCAGCTTCACATTAATGACAACAAAACATGAAACAGCAAAGAGAGGGCCATAAAGCACTTTCAAAAACAACTTTTTAGAAATATGTGTTTGCTCCCACAACATTCTCAGGTACCTTTGACGTATCTAAACACTGAGAGTTCCAAGTTCAGGGTTTTTGCCTTCCTGTGCACAAAGGTTACTTTGATTTGATCTTAGACACACCTCACGTCATCAGGCCTCACTGGGAAGATGAGGTTCACAGCACAAATACTGGCTTCCTCCCTTTTTACCACAATTTCGCCAACCATCAAAAATGTTTATGTTTATAATAAACTGGGGAAATGCCAATTATCATACAAAAAAGAAAAAGACATGGTCCCATGTTGTAATTACCTATGACCATAACTACACAGAAGCAAGAAACAAGATACAGCTTGTCCTGATGTACTTTTAAGTATTAGGTAAAATACTTCCCCCTCTTTAGATGCATTCAGGAGCGCAATTCAAGTCACAGCCTAGTACAACTATGTCTTTTCAAGATTTCTGTCTAAAGATTTCCCAAGCCCCAAAGCATGACCCACTCATTAATGTAATAATTTTTCTGCAGTAGTCCAATATATTTAAAGATGGCTCCATGAAAGGTTCTTCTAAGAGGCTTTCCATGGGTGTGTTTTGACCTATACATGTCTTAAAGGTTTGGAATGCAATACCTTTTCTTATAAGAAATGTTTCATGGAAGGAGAACAATGGGGGGAAGGGAACCTCAATGTGAACTAAATCTTCAAAACGAGGCACAGCAGTGGTCGTGACCAGGCACAGGAAGAGTGAACGTGGGATGTGAACAGTGAAGGATAACATGTGTGGTGCCAGGTGGGTACTAGACTTATCGGGGGACCAGTTCGCACATAAGTCACATCTGACCATTATGCTGAAGATCTGAGACTAATACAGAATAATATTGAGTGTCAACAGTGATTGGAAAAAATAAAACTAAATAAAAAAGTAAAGGGTAACATTTCACATGCAAATAAACAAACTCTTCGTGTTAAAATTGCCTCAGTACCTTCAAATGTGCCTTCTTCACGCTAATCAATGAATCATTTATTAAGCACCTGGGGCCTTGCAGTATAATTCACAATCAGATCTCTGGGCATTTAACCGCCAGAGGCTTTACCAGTAAAAGAACTCTCCTCCTTCCATAAACCCACACACGCAGTTTTATCACCATGTGCCGTAGCGACACTAGCTTTTCTGCTGCCCCTTAAGAATCACAGATTGCTCCCAGACGCTTTTCGGGCGACTTCAAGCCTCTCCTCCTTCGGTGACTCTTGAATTATGAAAGGGCATCTCTAATTCATGAAAAATACTTTCCCATCTTAGTGTTCATTATCACACACCCCTCCTTACATGCTGCGATTTTAGGCACCCCCACACATAAGCTTTGACTTGGGTAATATGGCATCGCTGTGTATTGCTAAGGGCTTTGCTGGGAACCCTCTTATATTTTACCATCATGATGTCCCTGGCAGCGACTTCAAAGGAAGCCGAGTCTTTTAACAGTAATGCACAGAATGACATCGAAGGCAAGGTTAAACGGAACCCAAGTACATTAAAAGGACCCTCTAAAAATTCACTAGGTCTTGACAATTCACTTGGCTGTCATCTCATTTCAAAACAAAATATGTCTCCTGTTAAAAAATAGGGGGAAGTTGGCACTTAACAATTCGGGCACACTCAAATCTCTCCCCAGGCAAGTGCTTTCCTTCTAACAACACATTCAACCTCCGCGTAATCAAATCGTACCCATGCTTGCAACCCTTCCATGTAATAGCTATGTCCCATCCTTAATTTTAACAGAGGAACAAAACTGAAAGCTCATTTCCAGATGGCATAAATTCAGTGAATTTAGACTGTCTTGTGCTGAGTTCAGAAATCAGCTAACAGGATGGGAGTGGACCAAAGACACAGCAAAGCCACCAAATGAACACGGGGTATGAGGGAGCTAGGGGTAAGATCATTAACATCCACATCGCAGATTTCTGCTTGTATCAGTAAAACAAACGCAGGAGGTGTGGATTTATCCATAGAGCCGAATTAATTGACCTGTGTTATAAGCAAGTGCTTTCCTAAAGGGTAATTAACAAATCTATCAAGGAAGACAGAAATCTCAAACAACTCAACAAGTTTTCAAATACATGGAGTAGACAATGAGCCAATTTATTGAATAATTTCACTCTCCAAAAGAGCTGAACTGAGACACAAGGTTATGGTCACATGTGGAAACTTGCGGAGTGGAACAAAATATTCTACATAAGCCCTCAATCATCACTGATTCGATTAAGTATATTAATAGTAACTCTGCATCTTAAAATGGATGAACCTAAATCCAATTCCTGAATTTTACAGATGACAAAATTGAGTCAGAGGGAGGCTAAGTGACCTGCTCAAAATTAAGTAGCTTGTAAATGGCGAAGACAAAGGTAGAGCCCTTATTCTCCAATCCACGTAATGCTCTAGCTACCCATTAAGTTGATTTAATTCCACTCAGGGAACAGCAAAACTTTTAAAAGCTTTGGGAAAAGTTGAGTCAAATAAACCTTCAATCTTCAATTTCCATTCAGTCAGTCCCTAAGGTTTTTGCATTAATCACATAGAATTATCTTCTTTAGCCAAGACACCAGTGTAATTTCTATGACTTTGGGAGGGTCTCAGCCACGAAAGAAACCAGTGAGTTGCAGCATATCACAGAGGAGGAAAAGCAGGCAGAGAGAGAGATGACAGGCGCCTTGAAAATAAATCAAGAGTACTGATTTATTAAAATGAATAATGAAGGTAAATGAAAGCAGATCTCAAGTACTAAAGTGATATTTCCCAATGTGACAACTACTCGTAACATGTTTCTTAAAGGAAAAAAATCGTAGTCATTGTGTAAGGTTCTATGTTCAAATAAATTTGTAAATGCAGCAATTTTAATATCCCTCTTGAATATTCACAAGTGCATCATGCAGATTAAGGCTCTAAAAAGGCCTGTAGTAGAGAGCCCTGCTCAGCTTTGTTTAATCCAACATTTCCCAATTGTATTTGACAGCTTTAGTTTGCAGGGGTCGTAGAGACATCCTCCAAGAAACAGTGCCTAGTATGTTTTGAGCTGTTTTTAATTCTTTTATATATTTTTTCTTTAATTTTTATTTCTTTATCTTTAGAGAGGAAGAGAAGGAGAGAGGGAGAGAAATATCAATGTATGGTTGCCTCTTATGCGTCCCCTGATGGGAACTGGCCTGAAACCCAGGCATGTGCCCCGACTGAGAATTGAACCACAATCCTTTGGTTCGCAGGCCCACGCTCAATCCACTGAGCTATACCAGCTAGGGCTTTTTTTTTTTAATCAGTAGTTGATATTAAATTTTATCAGATGTCTTTTCTGTAAAAATTATATGATTTCTTCCCTACTTTTATTTAATAAGATGATGTATGTCATTAATAAATTTTATACTACTGAACCCTTCTTTCATTCCTAAAATAATCCTCACGTGTGATGGTGTATTATTATTCTTTTGATGTGTGAAAGTGCATACTGTAAGTTTATCTCACCCAGCTTTCTAAGCAACCCTGCAGGGTGGACACCATCCCGGCTGCTCCGGCTCTCACCCACTGTGCTCTGGGCGCCCTCTCGCTGCCCCTCACACACACCTAGCTGCTCTCGGGGACTGTGCAGTGCCCTCCAGACATGCTGTCCCCGAGATCCTCTATCCCGAGGTCTCCTTATATATCATGCCTCTCTCCATTTACGTCTCTGCTTACCTGCCACCTCAGCAGAGAGGCCTGTGTCTATCCGGTCTATTCCGCATAAAACAGAAAGTGCCTCTCAACCCTGTCACCCCAACCCCGTTTTATTTTTGTTTGTAACAACTGTCGCCATCCAGTACATATATTTGGAGAGACAGAGAGAGAGAAGGAGTAAGGGAGAGAGAGAGAAGGGAGAAAGAGTAAGAAACATGGATTTGTTGTTCCACCAATTCACGCACTCATCAGTTGATTCTTGTGCTCTGAGTGGGAATCGAACTGCAACCTTGGCGTACTGGGACAGCATTCTAACTGACGGAGCTATCCAGCCACGGCCCAACATAGATTATATTTAACTTGTATTAATTTATATTTCATTGCCCAGAGTAGAATGTAAGTACCACAAGAGCAGGGGTTTTGCCTGCTTTGTTCATTGCTCACTTCCCAGCACAAAGAATAGGCCTGGCACATAGATATTACTACTTAGCATTTGTTCAGTGAATGAATGAAGAGCCATTTTATAAAACAAAACTGAAGCTTAAAGAGATTACGTAACTAAAATCACACAGTGGTAGAGCCGAAACTGAAACTCAAGTCCAACTTTCAATTCTCTACCCTTAACCATTAAAAAGAAATGACAGGTGATTTAAGGCCATACAAAATGCTCGTATAACCTTATGAATACTAATGCACAAGCCAGTGACTCCAGTAAAAGTCAGAGGAAAAGTGTGCAGAGGGTCACTGCACAAGGTAAGCAAAATAATCGGAAGAGAACCTCCAAAGAATCCCTGGGAAATTATGGACATTATATGAAGGCAGCTTGGCTCTCTCAGTACCATGAACCCCACAGCAAGTACCACAAAGTTCTGACCTTCATCCACATTATGTCCTTTGATACTCAGAAAACTGGGTGCTTCCGGGCC